TAAAAGGCCAAATGGCTTTTATACTCCTTTATCGAATTTAATTTGACTTTGTTTAGGTAGTCAATAAATTAAAATTTTGCTTAAAAAAAAGGCAACTTCTTGATATTTATTTTTCAATCTGCTTGCTTTTGTGTTGTTTGTAAAACTGAGAAATTAGTTGATGACTTTCACGTAATAAAAATGCCTTAATGTGTAGAAGACCAGAGGCCGCTTTAGGGACTCCACAGTAGCGCCATCTTTTTTGCCACTCAATCCCATAATATTGACAAAAAAGTTCTAGCCCTTAAAATAAAAAAGTCGGTCAAAAACATGCCGGTCCTCAGAAGGTTAATACTTTTAAGGTTATTACTTTAAATTGATTGATGTGTCAACGAATTCTAAATTTAAAGAAGAGAAGCTTTTTACTTTTTATTATTTTATCATTTTCCATGCGATCAAATTCTATGGCAAACTCAGCCACTCAACCAAGACATGTATAACACTTTTAAGATCTCATTTGCTAAAGAAACGACGAAAGAGACTCGGAGAAGAGGGGGGGGGGGGTTTCGTTATGAGCGCGCGTGTCAGCCTAAAAGTTGGAAAAACAAGTTTCTTCGGGGACTAAGTACATTGGCAAAGCCTTCACGTATGCTGCAATAAATATTGACAAGAGCTTATTTAAATATTGACCAATAAGAGTTTCGTCAGTGTCGATCGAAACGAGGTCTCACGTTGTCGCGGTTGTAGCGTTTCTTTTGATTCCTCCGAAGCCAGGCCATCGATTTTTGTCACCGCAAAGCTGTCACCCTCTTAAATACCCATCTTGCCATCATAGCGTGAAAAAGAAAGTGAGGGTTGCCGCTAATCCTCTTCCATTTCACATTGTGCTTATTGAATCGTGTAACGAGAGCGCGTTAGGGCTTGAAGTCTAAAAATAAGAGCGATGTCAATCGCTGAACCCACGCAAGAGATATTTATCAAGAACGAAACACGTGTCTGTCTATCGCTTCCTATTCGAACTTCCTGCACGTTGCGTTGATAATCTATGTACAGATCGCGCAATCTCGCACAATACTAGCTTAAATGTAAGCTGTCAGATAGGGAAAAAGAAGAGAAGAAATAAAGAAAAGGAATTTAACTGAATGATTGCTTAACTAATTGTATAATAACAAATAATTTTTTGAGTTTTATGAATAAATCTTTCACTACCATTTATTTCTTCTTTAATCTCCCTTTTTTCGTAATACTTTAATGCGACATTTAAAAAATTTGAATAAAAATGAAATATGTGAAATATCACAATTCCCAGCTTATGTTCCCCAAGCTGTACAGTTATAGAGCCAATAATGATAATGGAGGTTGTTAAAAAATATGTGTTACATTAATAAATCTCTCCTTCCATCCTGCTTTCACATTTTGCATTTTCTACATTGCCAAAATCGCGAAAGTCGTTTCTCGTCTTCCTTGCAAAATTTGCAATTTGCGTAAATTCAATTCTACGCCTACATTGATTTGTACAAATATATTTAGCCCATCGTTTCTAAGCTCTTTTTGTCAGACAATTCACGCTGCATTTGGCAAGGTCTGCAAATGTCGCAAGTACATGATACAACGTGCCGGTCGTATACCGCACGTGCATCGTTGCAGCTGCACGTGCGCCGCATTCGCGAGAAAATTTGCCACCAATAAAGCCGACCGAATCGTGAGCAACGTCGACGGCTTACAAAGTCATTCGTACACGCATTCATCGATTGCGAGTGGAATTCGCATTGATATGCGTTTTTATCAGCATCGAAAGAGCCGAAGGGCCACAGCCAAATTGATTCTGATCCGCAAAGGTAGACTTTATACAAATGGTAAAATAAAATCCGTCACGCATGTAATATTCGTCAGCCAGTATGGCCCCAAACCAAATATTGTCAAACGTGACAGTGACGAGCGAATTCTGGTTAGCGACAAAAAGTTACAAATATTATCCGTCGAATTAATGCATATATCCTCGAGCTATATTACTTCAACTGTGATTTATCATTGAATTTGATATGCATGTTTTATATAACTAAATAATGTAATAGAGAAAAACAACAATTAAAAGCACAATTTATCCATTACTCGCGGCTGAACCTAACCTCATGTTATAATAAATCGCAATTATGTTATTGAATTAGCACTCGTATAACCGCATATCTGGTTTCCTCTGTTAAGTCCATTAACGCTTTTTCCATATCCTTCAACGCTTGCAAGATTCTTCTTCATCCTCCTCCTCCTTCAACTCTCTTTCCTTTAATCTCCACCCTTCCACTTTTCTCTAATCCAGTATTAAACTTTCTCTTCCGACTACGCTCTTTTCTACCCGATCCCCGGCTTATAGCCACTGATCCGGCATTAAAACTCTTCTTAGCAGTCTCGTTCACGATCCTCATCTTGTGACACTCGTAATCCACTGGTTCTTCCTTATCCACGTTCATGAGTACGCATACGATTCTTTCGTTACAATCGAACAATTACGATCCGCTTCATTGTGGATATTTCTTATATTTTATGAAGACTGGGAACTATCAGTCTTTTAAGAAAAATCGCAAGGTATTCTAAATTACTGAAATAAAAATATACTTTGTACTTTTTCTTATTAAATTTCTAAAACTGGATATTTAAATCGTTTCTTATGTTTGTAATCTACAAGAAATAAGTACTGAAGAATTTAATATTAGAATACAGAATTATTTTTTTTGAAATCTTTATTTTTAAAAAATCTGTTTTCAAAATTTTTTTAAAAACATATACTAATTTATTTGTTTCTGATACATTACTTTCGGAATATTTTACAGCAATATTAGAAAGCATTTGCTTATAAATAATTTCTATAATGTTTTTTATTTAATATTAATAACATTAGATTCTAATTTTGCAAAAATGTGAAGAAGAGCTAACTGAAATTAATGCAAGATCGAGAGTAACTCGAGATCTGAAACACTAAAAAAAATGCTAATCGAATTGAGCTAGCTGTAATTGACTGTAGTCTAACAGTACAACTTTATTTCTATTTTAGTTGCTAAGCTCGATCGTGGTAGTCGGCGGGACGAACGTAGCCGGCGCACTGACACATCACCCACGGGAATTGGCGCAAAGACAGGCATTTCTTGAAACCCGACAGTGTGTCGAAGCACGTCTGACCACACAGCGAGAGAATCAGCAACAGGTATGCTACTGCATTTGCAATAAATTCGTATTTGACACGAATTAATTGATATGTCATTCGATGTATAATAAGAACAAATAAATTAAAAAATTAAAAAACAAAGCCGACAATGTTATAAAGTTGTTATAATGTTGAAATTAGTAATTTTAATAATAAAAATTTATAAATATATATTTAATAATTGTAAAAATTACTTTCAAAATATAAAAAAAAAAAAACAAATCTGTAATTATTTTTGCGACCATTGCGTTTTAGAGAAAAACTTTCAAGTTGAATTTTAGAAAGAAAATTAAAAATCTCCTACAAGTGTACAAAAACAAGGAGACTTCTCTCTTGCGCACAAGCTTCGGATATAATATAATAAATATTGCTTGTAATATATAAATTACTGAGAGATACGTTACCCAGCAAGTCAAAAAAATTAATAAAAAATAGAAAAGTAATACTCTCGACAAAAAAATATCAAAGCTCTTGAAAAATTAAAAAGCAAAGCCGATTGTAAAAATTATCTTCTAAACATAAAGAAACAAGAATAAATTTCTTAATTTAAAATTATCGATTAACATTAATAATAACCCCGTGGGAGGTCGAAACGTCTATTTCAATTTACCAATATTTTTATCATGTAATTAGGTTATACATTAAAAATATATATGCCATTTAAATGTTCGGTTTTGTTTCAACAGTTAATATGTATTTTATTATCTTAGGTTTAAATTATATATACTTTATTGCAACACAAATTGTTAGTTTATTAGCTTGTAGTTCTTCATAGCAACTTATTTAATTATTTGAGCCGTTTGTTACTATTTTAATTAAATAAATCTCTTATTATTTTTACGACTATTACGTTTTAGAGAAAAACTTTCAAGTTAAATTTTAAAAAGAAAATTAAAAATCTCCTACGAGTGTACAAAATAAGGAGACTTTTCTTGCGCACAAGCTTCAGGTACAATACTCATATATAATAAACATTGCCTGTAATATATAAATTACTGAAAAATACGTTACCCAGCAAATCTTAAAAAGAATTAATAAAAAATAGCAAGTAATACTCTCAGAAAAGATCAAATCTCTAAGAAAATTAAAAATTAACTTAACATAAAAATTAAAAGACAACAATGAAACCTACTTATCCATAAAAGAAGAAAAACAAATAGAAGTACAATGATTTTTTTTCTCATATATAGCTAATTGAGTATCCAATTGCAACGTTCATTTGTTTGTCATTTAACGAATATCTAACAATAATCTTATAATAACAAATATAATTATGGATCTCTTTCTATTTCGATAAGCTATTCTTGCACTTTTTTCATAAATAATAAAGAAATATGATCAACTTAATCTCTATATATTAACAGTAAAAGAAATTATTATATCTAGAGACGTCAAGATAGAGATTGAGAGATCCGTTTTAACGTCAGATCCAATAATCTTCTAATCAACATTGCCATGTCATAGAAGTAACGATCATTCCTGCGGCGTAACATTCTACCTGAATCTCGAATAATTGACGCCTTTGTTAATTATTAATGACACCATCAATGTAATAAACCGCACGTGAATGTACAAAGGGGAATTCTGTCCTATGTTCAGAAACCACGAACATGGCTTGAATATGGTGCTTCAATCACAGTAAATAAACTAAAAATTCTTCATAGAAGATAAAAATTAAAGTTATTCTAAATTTAAATTAAAAAAAAACTTGAAGATACTTTTACCGAGATAGGAAATTTTAATCATCTCTTTAATTATTTTAACGACAATTTTGTTACATTTTCGAAGAAGAAACTGTCACTTAATTCATATTATATAAATATTAGGAAACGAATTATCACATACATTAATGAAAATTATGAAATTTGGTTCTTTGATTTTCTATATTACACTACATATGTCACAATTTATTATGTTACAAATTTGATAAATAAAATTTTTTGAGTTTATGAGTTGTGATAAAAATTGTGAATAAAAATTTTCCGTGTCACCGATAAAATGCGCTAAATTATTGTTCTGACTGTTTTAGATGAAGCACTTTTGCAAAATTCAGATTAAGTGAAAAACATTTGTCCATACGTATAAAAAATTTTCAAATAATTATTTTTCTTAAACTGCTTGAGATCTTTTCTTTTTACACAATACAATAATATCGATAGAATTCTGATTGGGGATATTATAATAGATAAAACCGAATTTTAAAATAGTGTGTTAAATGAAAATTATAATCATGAAATTTCGTGAATTTTTCGATTGAACTTTTTAGCGTTCTCAACAAACGAAAATTGAAAATCTACAAAAGTGATTAAAGTAGGTACATCAGATGTTGTAGTCGCGAATTTAATCAATTGCAGAGCTTAAAGATGAAAACGTGCCGCTACGGATCTCAAACACGCGTATAATATCGTCGAACGCGCGATTAGAAATCTCTTGCACAAAGAATTCAGGGTATGACGATAACGAACGATTCGATTTGGAGTTCCATTCAAAGATGCGAAAGGATTCGCTGATCGAACATTTCACAAGCGATTATCATTACACGTATATAGGTAAATGTATGTATAGAAAGTATTCAGAATCATTTTGCATTCTTTCATTTCTATAGATTTCCCGATAAATTTGCAATCAAGTTTTTCTGCAGCAAAAATTCGAACATCGATTTTGCATATAAAATCGCACAATCTTCCATACAGTCATATTTGCATTTTTTAAATATCGAATTAATAATATATGTAATAGTATATATGTGATATTAAATACGTTTTTATTAGAATTAACAAATAACAAAAAATTACGCTATTTTTAGATATGCAAAAAAAAAGTTTAATTATTGTATTTGTATTACCTCAATAAATGGAAGAATAAAAAAAAATTCTCCACATAAATTATAACTCATATGTAATATAGTAAATAAAGAGAGAGCAAGCAATGTTTTGGAGAGATTTACGTAATAAAAAAAAAACTTAATGTGCGCCAGTGAATAAAATTAAACTGCATGTTCATTTTGTTTAATCCTTTATTGCCCATCTGAGTATCGTTTTTAACACTCGGACAACATAAGTACCTATATAGCCTTTGCGGGAATTTTATCCCACGAGAGCATATCAAGCGATATTGCATAATTATATTGTTTTACGATATTCGCACATTATTCTGTCTCATTGTTATAACTTACTGTGCGTATTAAAACAAAAGTTTGAAAAGCGAATCTGGCCGAAAAACGGTGGCCGGGTGACAAAGCTTCGAGTGAATTTATTTCGCGTGAACGTGTTGTCCAACAGCCAGAAAATAATGGACGAGCTATTTTGTCGAGGCACAAGGACTTTAATAAAATAGAGTGCGTCGATTATTCAGCAACTATTTTTTTCAATCTGCGAATATTTCCAGTCGGTCTTGTTAAAGCATTTCCATCTAACTAAAGTAAACTTTTTTTAAATAACAGCGTAATATGCTTCGAGGCAATGTTTCTCTTATTTCTGAGACAAATGAACGAATGTAATGAACAGGCAGCTCTAACTTTGTTATTACTTCATTTCACTACTACTATTACTTCTTCATTTGTTACTGCTTTCCTTTACCAAGTATTCTTATTTTTACTTATTTTTTTGATTCGTTATTTTAAATATTTATATAATTCACTGATTTGCTACAATAATGACAACTAAAAAATTATCATTTCGGAGTTGTTCATAGAAAAAAACGATAGTATAAAGAAAAAAAGAAAAAATATATGTAAAAAAACATATTCTCTAAAATCTTTGGAATCTAATTCTAAAGAGTAAAATCTCACTCTTAAAAATCGACAATTAATCCACACTTTATCAAGACTGGCTCAACTGTCATTCTTTAGAATTAAATTCTACTCCAAAG